ATGTTCCAGGAGTCAGGGTCACATAGCTTACAAAACTAACAAAAAACTTAATTTTAAATATTTAATGGACACTGAAATAAACAAAAAAAGAGCAAAAATATGGTTGAGACCGCTTGAGAAAAAAATACATTTTGGATTATTTAAAAGAAAAACATTGCTTGAGATCTTCGGCAGTCAAATTAAGAATATGAAAGTAGTAATTTTACTGTATTTTTTTTTATATATGGTGCTTTGCAAGAGGTCTGTGGCCTCCATATTCTATATGGCACATGTTCTACTGGACTTGTAAGAAATGGGACTTCATGTGGCATTTGTTAAATAATCACTTCATTCTTGCATTTTTTTTCCCTAAAGGCCAGAGTTTATGATTGTATATCCAACTTGAAGTTATCCTGTCCACAGCTTGCTCCACCTGAGCTGTGGAATTCTGCAACTCTTCCAGAGTTACCATCAGATCTGTGAGATCTTTAAAGCTTAGCATGTTGCTTTGACGCTTAATTGCTTTAAACTTCTCCACAAGTGTCTCACTGACCTGTCTGCTGTGTTCCTTGGTCTCCATGATGTGTTTTGTTCACAAATGTTTTCAGAGAAACATTTGAAGCCTCCACAGAGCAGCTGGATTTATACTCTTATTAGTTTTCACAGAGCTGGATTCTATTTTGTAATTAAGCAGAATCCAATAATTAGTTGTATTGAATTTTATGTATAGATAGATGCCAGGTTAAAGGGCATTTTAATGAGAAAGCATCTTAGATTTTTATTTGTAAAATTCTTTAACTTTTTTGGTCAATCAGATAAATATCTTTGCATTGTACTTATTTCTCTAATTATCAAAAAAGATCAATCACTCTCAATCCCTAACTACCGAATAAAACATTTGAATTACATCACCCTACTTTCTCACTCAACCCTGATGTCCAGCTAAAAATAATTTGCTGTGTCACATTTGTGTACAATAACTTCACAAGAAGAGTTATTCAGTTACTGTCTGGATAAAAGGCATTGTCAAGGTTATGTATATGTACACACTGTGTACACATATATTTATATGTGTACACAACATTGCCAAAGTTGCTGCATAACTGCTCTGAAATGAAATATGAATCTTCTCATCCTAGGACTCAGTAACACCTGCTACTCCTACGTGATATCTGACAACTTCCTTTTTTATTTCTCGCAACTCAGCTGCACTCACACACAAACGCACACGGCGACAATTTAGTTATTCACTACACTTGTTTTACCCGAGGTCTCATGATCAATGTGAGTTTGAGTTTTTGAAGGCAGTGTCATTCCCTCCCCAGCACCAAGCCCTCTCTGAACAAACTCCCATGTTTTTGTAAGCTGCACAAGTGACTATACATAGCAGAGTATTATGTAAACTCTGCATTTATGTGGAGTCACCTTTTACTGTCATTAGGTTTTTAAGCGGCAGAGTAAGTTTATTTTTAAAGACAGTTTCTCAGAGTTGTTTTTATGGTTTTGAACTGAACCTTTGCTTTGGGTGTATCAAACAGACGGAAGAGTTTAGGATACAGTGGAGGGAGGAGCTTCTATGTCTCTTCCCAGTTCTTGTTTGCTAACTGAGGGGACAAACAACTCCGTGGAGCTGAATAGGCAGAGCAGCTTTCTATGAATTTGTCAAAGCTAATAAATCATAGGTTATTAATAATAACAATAGTAAACGTCATCTGATGTCTCCAGTCACAAGCCTGTTTCAAAGAAATCCAGAATGGTGGAAAATCATCCCAGATTTAAGTGTTTTCTATCCCCGAATATGCCACTGTGTCTGTCGAGGAAACCCAAAAGGGCTGAGTCAGAGATCCCATCTCTTCCGGAGGCAGGCCTGGCAGAGCTCTCGTTTGAAAGGCAGCATGGAAAGATCAGCGGGCATCTCCTGAGGGAGCCACCGCAATGCACTGCGCTGCAGCCCCTTTGGCCAAAACAGCCCTGGGGCCTGTTGTCTGCTGCTGAGCCAGGCTGGGTTGTTTACTTTGGGAAGGACTTTCAACCCTGCACAGCCATGAAGTCTGACTACCCACGTCTGTTTCAACTGTTCCTATCTGTTTCCCTAGCTTCCCAGCTTTTGATCACAATTCCCTCCCTTTGCACCAAAGATCCAGTTTGCCTTCATCCCTTCCCAATGTTCTCACAGAATAAATGTGACCCTCGGCTCGGTCCAGAACACAGGGAGGATTCCTCTCTCCTGCTGTGTTTATGTTCTCCCCACCCCCTTATAGCACTGTGGTTACCAGTCAGGCAGTGCCAAGGTAAGACCACCTCGTAAATTCACGAACCTATAAATATTTGCTGGTGTTTTGAGTACAACACTCGCTCCAATTTACATATCTAGGGGTGGTTTTCTAATTTATCTGCGTGGAAACTAAATGACTTACTGGTGGTCTCCCTGTCTCAGCTGGATTCGTCACAACAACGATAAACAAATTAAAACAAATGTTTCCAATTAGCACGTTTAGTCAGACGTAAATGCTAAAAGAAAAGCATGTGAAGGATAATCTCTTGTCAAAATCATAACAGTCGGCTGTCAAAAGGCAGCAAATGAAGCTCCACGCTTTGCAGACTGTGGTGCAGTAAAGAGCATTCCTCCACACTCAATAAACTCTGTTAGATCAATGTGTCAAAGAGGAGACTGATAACGCTAAGCCTGGAAATAAATCTTAGCCATGGCTAAAATCTTTTCATGTGGTATTACTCACTGGCCATATTCTCTTAAGTACAGTAAACATTGTGATGGGTACTTTGAGCTGCTGGTTCAAGAGGACACTGAAAAGTGGTTTGTGCCTTAAGGCGATAGTTTAGGTTTTGTCAAAAGGTTGTAAGCATTCAGTATCTCACTCATAATTGATAACTCTGCTTTGTTTCTTTGATTCGTATAAATCTCGATCACCAGCTTGTCAGTTCTCCGGTGAAGTAGCCGAGCACAGCCTGTACACCAGCATGGTATCTGGTCCCAAAGGCTAAAGCTAATGGCTAGTCCATCAAAGTGAACTCATACTTACCTATGCAAAACATCTTTATGCTAATTGTAATTTTTTTTACTTGTTGTCATATTTATTTGAATGGTTTACAAGAAGTTTGTCACTATTTACACAGAAAGTAGAAATTGGAAAGATCATTGTTGCGTCACCAATGATCTTCCTGGGTGAAACACATAAGAATGATGTACATGTAGGCAAAGAAATTCAGCGTTATGGGCAGTTCAAACCTTATATAAGACATTTAATCTTACAAACACATTTTAATCTAAGTAATGTTTTATGTAGGAAGATCAGGTGGTGCACTTCCTCCAAACTTCAGCTTCTGTACAAATAATCATACTTTTGTGAAAATTAGGGCAAATGTAGCAACAGTTTAAAGGCCTTTTAAACAGAAATTGCATGAATTGCAGCAAGGTTTTTGAAGTTGGAGTTGTACGACCGCAGAAGTCCGCTTTGGTCTTGACCCCTTATGGACGAGGTTCTTGTCATGTATCTTGCATAACAAGCTAGCTATAAACAGACAGACGTTAACACTAACTCATATGTGAAAGAAGGAAGGGAACGGTCCGAGTGTAACAAATAGAATATTGCAGGCCAGGGAAACTGAGCAAAACAGAGACAGGGAACTGGATGTTTAAAAAAATGTACTTGGAAAAAGTTACAAACTGTCCTATTAAAAAAAGTAAATAATAATTTTTACTGCAGCTAAGATATTGACTACTTTTAACATTTTACCAGATCCCCACTTCAAAACCCCCAAACTTTTCCTTACATCTCTTGGGAAAGAAAACTTTGGAGTAAAAGAGTTTTCAATAGGAATAGTCTTTTTTTTCTTCTTTTTTTTAACTAAATATAGAACATCAACAGAGTGAAATGAGGGGAAAAAAAATCAATTTTTATGTTTTTGGCTGAGATTATTTTTTACAACGAGATTTATCAAAAAAACAACAAAAAAAAAAACGTTTTTTTTTCTGTCCTTCCATTAGTTAATCTTCGAAAGATTTAATAAGTTAAAGCTTTCGTCCGGCAAAACAGAAACAGGGAGTGAAAGCATGGATATGGGTGACTCATAAGGAATGCCTGAATGTCCAACACCACAGCTCTCTCCATAAATTTCCATCTCTGACGCTTTGCCCTTAAAATAGTGTGCTTCTTTTCAAACAAACATTAAATTTACTTGCTTCATCAGAATTTATTGGACTGGATTTAAATATAATAATTTCTCGTGATGTGCCAGAAAAAATAAAACAAAAAAAAAAACCCGTAAAAGCGAGCCTGGTACTCAAAGAAATAAATACGTTGATAAGATCTCTGCAAAAATGAAACAAGTTCTGGAAAGGGACGAAGCTTACGTTAAACTCAGAAAACTGCCTCCAGTGTTCAGTATCTTTAGAATTCATTGAATTAGTTTTTGCTTAAAAACAATAGTCACAAATAATGACGAAAATCCAAAAAACTTCTCAGGCTGTCAATTATTTTCAGGAAGCATAAATGTGATCCCAGCAGAGCCGATCCAAGGCCGTTTCGAGACACAGGGGAGCGGCTCGGAACAGAAGTTCATATTTCAGCTACCATGTCGTAGCAGTAGATATTAGGCATAACCTTTGCTATGATACATCTGCAGTCCAGGTGATTGTGGTTTTGTATGAAGGTGGAGGGCAAATAATACATTTTACTCAGAGAAAAAAAAAATCTGGCTACATTCACTTGCATAAAACATTCGAATCATTACAGATTTGCACAAATAGCACTAATGCACTATTGTAAGCATGGCTTTTGAGCTCCCAGCATCCTCCTGTTGGTTGTGGAGCCCTCTGCATTTATGCCTTGGGCTAACTCTGGATCCCAGCCATTTTGTGTCTCGAAACTAAATCACAGGATCTCCTATTAGCTCATTTTAAATTCACTATAATTAATTATGAAGAATTTCAATGACTGCTCTGTATATTTTCTCTGTATTTTTTTTTCTGATTTTGTGCTGAAAATGAGGAAACAGTAGAGAATTGTAAAATGTGTAAATTTTATGCAGCCATTTAGTTATACCGGCTGAGCTTTGTTCAAACACAACATCCAATTGCATGCAAACATCTTTTAAGAACAGTACCTTACTCCTCTTTGTAGCTGACAACATTTTGATACATAAAAAATAAGGAATCAATAATTTGTATGTTTTGAAGTAAATGATTAAAGAACAAACAAAACAACACAAAAAAAAACACTGGCATTTATACCCTGTTTTAACCAAACTACTTTCAACATAAGCAATAAGAGCTTTCAATGGAAAATATGTGCAGATCCAACAAACACTTAAAAAAATACAAAAGACATCAGAATGGTTTGACATCTGCTCTATATTGATATCTTTATTAACAATCATAGCCACGTTCTCTACAATTGGAGATTTATAAATATATATATTTATATATATATTTTGATTTTGATTCATCAAAGTCATCTCAGCACTTATGGCATTATTCCAGTTGTGGGGAGAAAAAAGAAGAACAATCTAAATGTCCTCAGTGCCTCATCAAGCACTCGTGTCCAATCAGCAGTGTTTTCTGTAGAGAGGAAATCCATTATGTACACGATGGCTTTCTTTGAAGAACCACTGACGGGAGAGATCAGAGTGAACAACAGGCTTAAAACCATCCTGTGCAGGCCGCCTGACTGATTGTCTGACCTGACGTCTCCACTGACTGTAAGACGCCAGCACCACCAATCCCGGATATTCCACACACAGATCAAGGTTAAGCCGTGACTGACGCTCGTCTCGCCATCGTTTTTCCCTCATGTCAGACTCTTCTTGCTGGGGCCGGGGGTGGTGGTAGGGAGCAAACATCGTCCTCCAGATATATCCATGCCGCAGCGTCCAGAAAGAACAGGAGAGGTCAGGGATTTCTGTCCACACACACAAAACTTTTGAGTGTTTAGGCTAAAGCTATGGGGCACCAGGGTTCCCCCCTCACTGAAGCTACATCTGACGACTGGGTCAGGCCCACGCTGGTGTACAGGCTGTCCTGTCCGGGGTATTTCACCGCAGAGCCCGAGCCGGCTCCCTCCCCAGAGCCCGGCAGCACGGACGAGCTGACCTGCAACAGCAGCAAACATAATGTCAGCTGGGAACATTATTCAGAATATATAACATTAATTTCAAGAGAGATAAGTGTAGGTCAGAGATACAGCCGACTCCTGCTGAGAAACACTTCACAAGCCGGATCCAACAAACTTTGCTTACAAAACAGTTCAAGTCTAAACATTTCAAATCTACTTAATGTAAAAAGATCTTCATCATTATGCAGAGTAAGTTTTAATTGATGTTTCTATAAATCTGCATTTACTACTGCTGCACAGCATATGTATGTATATATATATATATGTTTTTCTTTTTGTTTTTTTGTTTTTTAATAAGTATGCTTGTGGAAACCTGCTGCCATATCTTAAATTTAAAACATTGCTACACTGTAACAATTTCTTAAATTCATATTTAAAAGACAGTAAGCTCTTCGTTTTAAAGCAACCTAGGTGTAGTTACTTGTTCAACTATTAACCCTAACCCTAATAAAAATAGGTCTTTCTTCTGGTAATTAATGATTATCTTAGCATCAAGCAAACATTCAACAATATTCAAACTCCTCAGTCCCTTCTGAACATCAACCCTCATATAATATTGAAATGACAGGCTTCAAACACGTCATTTTAAAATAACCTGACTGCAATTCAATTACTGTTTTAACTTTAACTCAATAACAACTCAGCTACCTACAGAACACAGAAACATGCTGTGTTTGAACTAATTAGCCTGAAATTTCTCACATGCATAGGAGTTTAATTGTGTTACTATAGCGACTTGGCTTATGGTTGTACTTTTGAATAGTCGTTGATGTAAGTAAAAGAGTAAAATAACATATTTCTGAAAATTACATTAAATTAGCAAATACATAACAGCCATTCATACATTGTGGATTTTATCACAGTTTCTATGTTTACTCGATTTACAAAACTACGGCTCATCTCTTTTGGTTTATTGGTGACTGTTAGCAGCTACTAAAATAAGCTTTTTCACTAGCAACTTTGCATTGATAAAGAAAACACAGCTGGGTAATGAAATACGCATTTTCTCTGCCAGGTTTTATGATTTAGAAACATTTTCAGAAGTACAGTGAAGAATGAAACAGCTAATTCTGGTTGTGTATATCTGGGTTGTGATGAAGGCACAAAATTCAAGCCAATAAGCTGACGCGTTAACAAAACGCGTTAGCACTTTTTAAATGGGAGATTTAATTAAAAAACTTTTTTTTTTTAAATAAGACAGTAAGAAACAATCAAAATCTGAATAGCTGTTATGTGATGTCACCAGACACAGGTGACAATGGAAGCTTATTTTTAGGATCATAAATTGTATTCTGAATAAATGATGTTTTACAACAGAATCAAAAAGTAACCATGATCTGCTTTGATTAAGGTGACAAGTCTCCTGTGTCTCCTGTGTACATTTAAAAACTGAATTGTGAATAAACAACTTCATAAATCTAACTTATACTAGTTCAAATAACTCCTTATTTTTCAAAGGATTAAAAACCCAAAATATCATCTGAACGGAAACTTTATTTCACAGTCAATTCACATTCAACGCTCCACTTTTGTTGGGTGTTTCAGAGCATCACTGTCATAAATTCTTCTGTTATGTTGCTACAGATAGCCTATAGCCACAAATACAACACGATTAATAAAAGAAGCCTATTTAAATTATGTTTTTTGTGAAAATCTAATATGAGGGAAGAGTTTTGGTTGCATTAAACAAACTGGAAGAAAAACATCAGCTGATGAGAAATGTGAAGTTCATATTTATTGTAAAATGGTGACACACTACTTAAGTATGCATGCATCAGCCTGATGTTTTTAGCAACATTGCACAAAATATGTGGTTTTGAGACGTATGATTAATACAATTTTAGGTGATGGACTGTTATGCGTGTTTTTTTCCAACATTCACCGAATTGCAGTAGTTTTTTCCAGTTTTTTTTTAAATCCCCAATAATTATTTCTTCCCATCGTTCCTATTTGTAAAATGACCTAAATACAGCTTCAACGTATCACAAACAAATCTGCAACACAGTGAAAATCTCATTCCCCCAATTTCTTGGAGTAAAGCTTTCCCAACAAAGTAAGGCAACCAGACACATCAGTGGCAGTTTGTTTATGTCAGGGCTTTGCACACAGGGCATCTTTCTGTCAGAGAGAGTCCTATTCTTTTAAATTGTGTTTTAAATTGCAGAGATTCTTTAAGCATAAGTTTGATTTGGGAGGTGTGTTTGTCAAATATAAAAATGTAATCTTTCATTTTCCCCAAAATATTGTTCAAATCTCTTTGTGTATCAATTATATTCTGAATGCTAAAGTAGAGGCTCTCCAATCATGCAACCACTGTCTTATATGCAGCTTGTCTACACTGTCAAAGCAGCATAGGTTAAAAATGGATCTTACCCCTGACACTTGTGCAGAGGGAGAGCTGGTTTTGGAGCAGTCTTCAGAATTGGATGAGGAGGTGGATGTGGGAGTCATGGAGACAGAGTTGTTGGTGCCTGTCACAGAAACAACAACTACATTATCACACTTGGTTTAAAAGCGTATCTAAAGTGTAGACGCAAGGAAAAACTCCAGCTGAAATCTCACCCGAGGATCCTTTGGTTTTACTCAAAGTTTTGGGTTTTCTTTTTCGTGTCTGGATTCCCTCTTTCTTCATGGCCAGCGGTCGAGGTACCTGAATTGTGCAAGAAGGAGCAAATTTAAGATCAGGCGAACAGTTTTAATTGGATTTAAGTGAAATATTTAAACGGAACTGAACTCACGCCATGAAGCTTAGTGTAGAGTCCGCATGCATTGCACACAGGTTCTCCTTCTGCGTTCCTGCGCCACAAGGTCGTTGTGCTGGTCTGACAGTTTGCGCAGGAGAGGCCGATTCTTCTGGAGGTTGACTGGTGGTACACATTGAAAATAAATCATTTAGATTTTTTTTTCAGCTGTGAAGAAAATCACCGTTCTCCATTAAAATGTGTCTTTAGCCCATTCAGACCCCATTTCCTTAGAAAAATAGAGTTTCTATTGTGATATGCCCTTTAAGTGGACGTCTTTTAACAGCATGCTCCTTCACAACGACCTCGGTACGTGACATCTAATTTCCCTGTGAAAACTATCCATAATGGAACTAGGAAGCATTTGTCTCTATTAGATTAAATTGCCAAACATACTTTACGATTTAAAAATATCAAATAATATGTCTCGATCAGTTTGGGAAAAATATATTCAATTTGCGCGTAGTTTAATGAACCATTTGCGCAACAGAAACAACAAGCTTTTGGAAATTTGGAAATTATTTGTTTAAATGAATGGCGCTGATCAGCTCAATAAAAGCTATTTATTTTAAAAGTACATTTCCTAGCATTTTATTTATTTGACAACGAAACAAGACTGAAGCGTAGATCAGATAATTATTTTTGCTTCCGAGGTTCGCGATGACCTCCAGGAATTGTTCGGGACAATTAGTCAGGAAATTGAGCGCTCCTGTCTTTCTGCCTCCTTACCGTTCTCTTCTGCGGTTTAATTAATGGTCGGCTCAGGCCATTCATTTTGCTGTAGAGGCCGCAGGCGTTGCAGAGAAAGTGGCCCGTGCCGTCGCGCCTCCACAGCGGCGTGGAGATGGAGCCGCAGTTCACGCACTCCTTGCTCTCCGCCATGTCGTCCAGGATGTCTGAAACTGAGCACAAACGCAATGGTTAAAAGAAAGCACGCGTTTATTATTTTGATTGTCATAAATATATTTATTCTGAAAAAAAATTAAATAGATTTTTATTATTAATAATAATTCATAATTCAGAAATCCGGACAATGTTATGTGCGACAGCAGAATCCAAAGTAAAATTTGACTAAGTAAAATAAAACCTTTATGTGAAAATTAAATAACTGTTCACACTTTAACCGTTGATCAATGACTACAGTTTATTATTATTATTATTATTATTATTATTATTATTATTATTATTATTATTATTATTATTATTAGCCTATTATTATTATTATATACTAATTGTTGCCCACACACAATAAGGATGCCAACAAATGGGTGGGTGGGAAAATAAAAATTTTCTTATCCTCTAAAGTGCTTTGCGATTATATCTCTTGTGAATTTATGCTGTAAATAGAATGAATAAGTTGCGATATGTTATAATATCTTTACTATTTTTCTTTTTTTCTCTGAATTTATTCATTAACTTTTTTTTTCTTTTGGACTGAATTAGTACCCCAGATCCCCACTCCTACCCACGACATTATAGAAGTCCTTCCGTTTTGGTTTTGGTGTGACCCCTAACATTCCCAGTAGCCCTCAACAGGTGACCCCACCTGAGACCTTCTGAACGTCTTCACCAGACCCATAACTTTTTACAACGTGAATCATGTTTTTTTTTCTTACACGTGATCACCATCATCATATTTTGCATTTCTTTTTCTTACCTCCGTTTGGACCTCTAATCAAGGGCGCACCCCTGCTTTGCAAAGTGTGCAGCATGGTGTTATCAAAAGGTCCCCCGGTCCAAGGTGAGGGCAGCTGAGGTGCCACATAAGGGGAGTATGGGTTCGCGTAGGTCCCGCCTAAGGGTCGGGAGAGGCCGTATTGGTCCCTGCTGCTCACATTTAGCGTGTTTGTGTAGCTGCTGTCCCTGGGTGTCCCGTTGTTCATGGGCGGACTCGGAGGATAGTGGTACCGGCTGGAGGTGTGCGGGCTCCCTGCGCTGTACGACGACGGGCTCTCCGGGGTGGACTGCGACCACACCGAGTGGCTGGAGACTGCGTGGCCGGCCTGCGCGGAACCACCGGCCTGCAGGTAGGAAAGACTGGAAATCATCGGGTTCACCCGGGAGCTGGGCACGTAGACCGGGGAGTTGGGGCTGGAGTGCATGTAACCAGCGGAGGAGGAATCATATCCAGTCTGGCTCTGGGCTGCCGCGATTGCCAAAGTTTGGTACATGTCGGCGGGATCCACCAGCAGGCTTGCCTTGTGCGCTCCGGCGGAGAGAACGAGCTTGCCCCCCTGATCCAAGTCCGTAAACAGCGGGATGTCCTCGCCGGCGGTCGCAGCGTTGCCGTGATGTCCGAAGTGAAGGTAGGGATGCAGCGACCTGCCGTCCGGGCGGCGGTGGCCCAGCGCGTCGAGCTCGCTCGGAGGCGTGGGCCCGTCCCTCCTGCTGCTGTCACCGGGCAGGTAGCTCTGCTCGGCCGGCGAGCCTGGGCTGCTGGAAACTTCTCGCTTGACCATGGACCAGCTGTTTTCACCCAGGTCCATCCAGGAGCACTTTCCATACACAAAGTACTAAAAATAAAACACCAATCAGAGGGCAGTGCACCCTGTAAGAAAAAGAAATGAAAGCGTAAGGAAATCATCAAGTAGATTTCAAAATATAATCCATCCTTTAAATTAATATTAGGTCATCCTGCAATGACTGCTGTGTGCGCATCAAGCGCCCATAAAAGGTTCATCCGTGTCAAATAGCTCCACTCCCACTCACAAGTTTACCCACATCACAGATAGGAAACAAAACGCAATATGTCTTCACAGCAAAGGAGATAACCGTTTGATAAGACCTTAAAAGAGATAAGGGCCGAGCGATAAAACAATACCCCCGAAATGATGAGTTCATTCCCGCTGCACTCACCAACTCGGTCGGATGTTTGAACCCAAATGAAAAGACAGAATAAAAATGGCTAAAAGGAAAAAAAAACACAACAAGACGCCTGTACCTTCTACTTGTTTGCCATAAAGTCGCTGAAGTTTCTCAATTCTGCGCTGTAGCTGTTGCCGCTGCCGCTTCTTCTCCTGGGAGTAATGGGAAGCGTCGGTGCGCTCCGACTGGGTTTATGAGGGGAGGCGCTTCCAGCGGCGGCCGCAGGGGGAGGACCAATCAGGTTGCCGCGGAGGAGCTGCTGGGAACTCTGTAGGGGTGCCAGCCTGTGAGCTCCTCCAATCAATCACACCGACAAACAACCGAGAGGCCGGGGAAGAGAGAAACTCGATCGCCACTCAAACTTTGATTTCAAGATGCAATCAGAGCGAGGTTAAAGACCGAGTCTCCGTTTTTATTTCTTACTCATTAGCCTGCTTGATTCTCACTATCATTATGATTTTCTTTCAAGCGATAGAATGTTTCATTCTCTATTTCATGTAAAGTCTGGGAAAGTTTACTTAAAAAATGTTGCCTATTTTCCCCTGATGCGGTATTACATTGTATATATTATATTAAATTTATTTATTACAATTTAAATATATTAAATTTCTCATACTGCACTGCTGCAGTATGAGAAATTGAACTGTTTTAAAATATTCAGATAAATTATGGTAGAGTTGGATTCATCATCCACCTACCATAATCTATCTATCTATCTATCTATCTATCTATCTATCTATCTATCTATCTATCTATCTATCTATCTATCTATCTATCTATCTATCTATCTATCTATCTATCTATCTATCTATCTATCTATCTATCTATCTAAAAATTATATATCGTCTTTACAAATGGAGTCAAACTGCAAAGAAATATTGCATTGAACTAATTTCCATTCTGTATTCATCGCGTTAATTAATAACTCCTAATTAATTGGTTTATTCAAGGCGCTGAGAGGATTAAGCAGCTTTTCGTGATGCACCAACTTGTCAGCTGCTCCCTTTGTGTCCCTTTGAGCCGCAATGATTCGCTCAGCTGGAATATACATCCTGACGAGAGTGAAGTGGTCAAGAAAGGGGCTGCAATAGAGAGACGTGACGAGGTGTCAATTAAATCATTCTCTCTTAGTTTCGCAAAAAGCTCACGCGGGGCCGTTCAGCACGTTTGCTTAACACGCGCCTCGCCGGGAGAGACTGAATGGCGATAGCTAAATGCTACTGCTAATGAAGGCCCCACAAGCCGGAAGCTGCAAAGAACTATTACTGATAGCTGCCATGTTGTCAAACTGTGTTACTACCACAAACCCACCTCTTCTCAGCTGGATATTTATTTATTTATTTATTTATTTATCGGTAATTAATTTCATACTGGTACTATGCTCAAACTGTTTGCTGGGAGCAATGTCTGATGCCATCCAAACATGGCAACCCCGTATCTTGTGTTCACAAGCAGTCCCAGAAAATATTCTGCCATCTGCTGATTGGCGTGCAGCAGACAGCAGCGAGTGAAATGTTTTCTGAGCTCCGACAGCTGCTTCACCCGTGGAGGTTTGTGTACAACTGGCAAATAATAAAGAAATAAATAATGTGCTGGTTTACCTGGACCCACGTGAAATTCTGACTGGGGCCTCAAAGAATCTTGTGACGGCTCTGGATTTAGAAACGACGCCTGAATTAGGCGCCTTAATATTATCACTGTCATACATTACATTACATGGGCTATTAAGACAAGTATACTGTCAAGTTTATTTTATTCAACCAGCACACATCATGTGTCCACTCAAACTATGGACACATGATGTTAACATTTTGTTCTCGCCATAACTGAAAAAAAAAATCAGTAAAATAATGTGAATAGTCGCTTCTGATGCAGCATTTTTAGTGCAGGAGCAGCAGAGCTTCTGTTATTGCTCCTGGGGGGAGAAAAGAGGCCCGTCTCCCTCTGAAGTTGTGCATTTCTCTCTGTGCCTTTAAAGTGGAAGCGAATCTGACAGACTCGGTAAGCTTTTTGTCTTCTTCTTCTTTTTTCTTTTTTTTTTTATCAGATGCGACCGAGGATCTGACAGCTCTGTTACAACTTAACTTGTTTTAGGTGAGGTCCAGATTTAATCAGCGAGAGTAAACCAAACTATAACCACTGCTGTGTCCCGTCGAGTCAGCGCGCATTGTCAGGGAGGTGACAGAATAACCTCTCTCTCTCTCTCTCTCTCTCTCTCTCTCTGTTTTTCTCACACACTTTTTTAGCTCGTTGCTTTGATGAATGAGGTGTGTGTGTTTTTTTTCGCAGAGATGTCAAAGTGTGCTGCTGCTCTGACACACCGAGCCTGCAGGAGGAGGAGGAGGAGAAGTGGCAGGACGCCGCCCTGTCTCTACTTTATCCGCGCACAGCGGCCCTTCGTGACTGCTGTCGGAGAAGAGACACAGGCCTGTAATCTAATTATCTTTATCAGTCGACCACAGAGCGTCTAGTAAAATGGGCACAGAGTGTCAGATCATATTAAAACAGCTGTAAACAAACATTCCTCCTAAAACGTTAGGCAAAAGCCGAATAGAGAAATATAGAAAGAGTGTATTATTATTATTATTATTATTATTATTTTTTTTTTATTATTTTTTTTTTCGATTGTTTATAGAAGCAGATTGTTTTTTTTTTTTATCTCAATAATGTTTGTTTCTTTCTTGGAGGTGTAACCAGCTGATGACCGACCCTCTTCAGGTGTCAGAGTTTTATGTACCGACTTGATAATGATTATCTCCAGCTCTCTGCTCGCTGGAGCCGGATTCTTTGTGACTCCAAGAATCTAAGGCGTTTTCAGGCATGCTAAGAGCAAATACTACGTCAAAGTGTTCACACGTTAAAATAAAATGACATAAAATGAAATAAAATAATGCAGATAGTGTTTTGTTTCATGTAACTGTACGTTAAAGTTTAGATGTGCAATGCCGTCTTCACACTGCAAAGGCCATTGTGGACGTCATAATATGCTGAATGTGTGTGAGATGATTAATATATGATTAATGAGAAGCGATCGAGCAGCAGGAAACACATCCAATTCATCATCTTAATTACGTCTGGTTTCTTTCTTTCTTTCTTTCGTTCTTTTTTTCTTTCTTTCCTTCTTTCTTTCTTTCTTTTTTTCTTTCTTTCTTTCTTTCTTTCTTTCTTTCTTTCTTTCTTTCTTTCTTTCTTGGGTCTGCTTGTTTTGTTATCGGGCGTTTTAACTAAGAAATGGTGCTGCTGACAAACGGCCTCTCTGATGTCGTGACATGTTTTTTTCGTTTTTTTTTGTTTGTTTTTTTTTACGAACGCTTGGAACTGCGCAAAAGTTAAGACGGAGAAAGAGACATTCTCTCATTTATTTGGTGAGACGGAAGATTACGTTGCAATATTGCAAAAGGTGAAGTCATCGATTTGCTTGTATTGTCGCGGAATTGAATCGCCTGTTTATGAGGTTCAAGTAAATAAACAAAAATAAATAAATAAAAATAAAAACAAAAAATTGAGTGAAAGTAAGAAATAAAAAAGAAAGCAAACACAATTTCTTTAACTTTGGACAATTTTCATTTATTTTCTCACTGTTTTGGGTCATTTGTACCCCAAAGTCCTAAGATGCATCTTTTTTTTTTATCCCAACATTCTATCTTTGCATCTCAGTTTATAACAGGTTTTCTTATATTTGTTGTGTGTGCCCTTTTATCTGCTCCAATTACCAGAAATTAAATAGACAAATAAATTCCCACTCAGTTCAACAATATAAGTGGCAATTATACTTATATTTTGATCAGTACCACTTAGTTTGATTAATTTAACAAAAAATGTTTTAATTACCTAGCAGGTTGATATGATGATTCAATTAAAGGACTGTAGATTATGAGGAAAGAAGAAAAAAAACCAAATGATCATAATCTCTCAATTTTTCATTGGTATTTCCTGATTGCCTGTTTGCAGCCATCAATTCATTGAACTCATCGATGCTGAGAACATCCAGCAGTTTTGGTCCATAAATACATCAACTAGTAGTGAGAGAGTTTAATAAGATACACATTTGCCATGTTCCATGATAAATTAATAATATTGTCATTTCTTCTGTTGGATTCAAATCCACTCAAAGTTAAATCTAAAAATGAACCTAAGAAAAAAATGGCACTCAGTATTGGACAGGAGAAGTCTTACCAATGCAACTCTAATAATAAGTAATATTCACAGGGATAAAAAGTGAAATTTGCTCCTGATCTGGCGGGATTAGGGTTAAGCTATAGGGATGCCTGAAAAATGAATGGAAATTAATAGAAAGTCCTTGTGAATATAAAACAGCATTATATATGTGCCACACAATGCAACTGAATAAAGAAAATATGGAATGCAGAAAATGAATGGAGAACTGCATTTTGTTTGATTTAAGGTGTAAATCCATCCCAGATTAGACAGCATTAAATTTCATGGGTTGTGAATTTCCCTCAATGTTTAATTTGACTCATCAAATGTAAAAACCTGCTTCCTAGATTTACAGCCTCCTGACAGCGGAACGTTGAAAACATAGACGTATTTGCTCTCATTTTATGGAAGGCACAGTTAAGTTTTATACCCATTTCTTCCTGTGCTTCCACTCAATGGCGGCCTGTGCTGAGCTGCAGGAGCAAAGGCTGCTGGGAGGCCTGTGAGCAGCCAGCCTCTCCTGTTTGAAGTGGTAGATGATTAAACGGGTCATGACAGGTGTAAAAGCAACCTTTGTCATCTGGGACATGCAAGCGTCCTTGCTTCCGCAACTCGCCCACAACGGAACGCCCTACTCACCTACTCGCCAACGGTGTGTGTGTGTGTGTGTGTGTGGGTGTGTGTGTGTGTGTGTTGAAAAAGCTGTTTGTGTCTCAGAATTGGGAAGCAGCTAAAATGAAATCTTACACAATCACTCTCGCTGCTCAGCACAAACAAATGGCTTATCTTTGTAGATTTTAAATTTTCCTTCGTCCTCATCATGATGCAGAAAATCTCCATCCTTCGCATTTGACTGTTATCTAAGAATAATGGAGGTGCATTTATCTATTATTTGTTTCTTAGATTTATCACCATAGTGTCGCACTGTCATATCAGGCTGACACAGACTTTCAGGGCTTATTTGACCTTCTCTTTAAACTTTCGCTCCAGTGAGTCTGTTCATGCATCACAGTTT